AAAAGGCGGGGCTTCTCATATGACGCACACCTGCACACTTGCTCGCCTGTTCCACTCTTTGTTTTCCGAATGCCAGGAAGTATTCTTGCCTCGCTTCTGAAGCAAGATGCTCGGAAGACATGTGCTACCAAGCAAGCGTACTCGAGATTGAGAAACACCCACAGACTGTCTCAGCCTATTATTTTCTGTCTGATGGAGACTTCATACTGACTTCAACATGTTCCACATATTTTATACATTATTGGTGACGTATGGTTTTAGTTCAAACGTTTGCAGTTAAAATATTCTGCTGCTTTTCAAACTGTTTTTACTTTCTTTTCTCTTCTTAATACACATTAATTCACTACTACTTACATTTAATATCTAACTCCTTCAGCCTACTTTCAGCTGCAGAAACCATTCAACTATTAAATTATTCAGCTATTTCAGGACATTGAGGCTATACATGTTGTTGTTTATACCTTTTTTAAACCTTTTCTTTTAAATATTAAGCTTCTTCACTATTTTTCCTACTCTTCCAGTTTAACATTTTACTTTTAAGTGTTCAACAAAGTCATTGCAATGCATTTGAGCTGTAACAATTTTGATTCAAATCATTTCACTTTTCTGCATTTCTCCGCTAAGCTCAGCAACACACTTACTTGATTTTTGTAGCTAAAAGCAGCTACCATTCAGCTAATAACATATTCAGCTTTTTCTGCATTTTCAGCTAAATTCAGCAACAAATGTACACAGTTTACAGCATTTGCAAGTTTATTTTCCAGTTATGACTTATGTCTCATTTTTATGGTCAAAGTGACGATTTATTATCTGCTGTAATTATGACTTATGTCTCATACTTTCTTCTCTTTTCTTTACTACGTTACCTATTATGCAAAATCCACTTTTTCATGTATTTTATACATAAACATGTGTCCCCTCTGTGTAAAGAGATTCGGAAACTTTCAGGAAAAAAGATTCTCTCTCTTTTCGTCCTGATCCATTTATATAAAAACCTGTCTGAAAATGAGCTGATCAGATTTTTTCTTGCGTTGTGTAACAATTAACCAATAACCAACCAAGGTAACACCCACCCACCTTATCACCTGAATCTCCTCTAGAGCACCATTGTGTTTTTTTAACCAAATATCTTGCAGAGGGGCATGGCCAGCAGCAGCTCATGAGCATTTAAATCTACAGACACAGAATCAAAACATGCACCGTTTTGCTTTATGAATCTTGATATATTAATGAAATAAATGTGATTTTAAAGTATCTGTCCATATTGTATACTAATTACAAGGACCATAAATGGCACATTTCTTGGCGCACAAAAGATCAAAGAATCTGACAGTTGACTTCCTCTTATCCTCAGTGCACTACCAGAAGATTGTCCATAGAGACATCAAGCCCTCTAACTTGCTCCTGGGGGACGACGGCCACGTGAAGATAGCGGATTTTGGGGTCAGCAACCAGTTTGAAGGCAATGATGCCTTACTGTCCAGCACTGCTGGCACTCCTGCATTTATGGCCCCAGAGACCCTTTCAGACGCGCGAAAGAGCTTTAGTGGAAAAGTGAGTGAACTTCATTTATTCATTGTGAGCGTGCCTGAGTTTGAGCTCCCCTGATTACAGGGACCGCAGGTGTCTAAACTTTATGATTATAAAATGAAAATCATTAAACCAAGATGAGCTTTCAGAACTTTGCCGGGCTGCTAATCCAAGGAGCAAATTGTCATCGTCAGTCTTTTCCCTCGTACAGTATGTGTAAGCTGGTAATAAAGGAGCCAGTAATGCAGCTGAGAGTAGCACCATCAGCAGAATCAGGAAATGGAATGATAATTTTTAGATACCTGATATTGACTTGGGAACATTTTGTACATCATTTTTTTCTTGCTACTTTCACAGTCAATCAATGATCAGTCATGTATATCGCAAATATCTGGCCACTAGACCATATAACACTTGGTGTGAATCCACCTCTTTATACAATCCACCTCTCTCTGCGATCAATAAAAAAAAATGTATTACAAGGAGAAGAAATATATATTGCATTATGACCACTGCTTGTGAATCCACTACACCTGCTAATTTATAAACAATTTCAAGACAAAATTAGTGATTTTTTCAATTTAATTTTTAGTGTTTATCACGATTTTATAAATGCATTTTAGGACCAAATATTGTTTGGCACTTTTCATATTCAAAAAGACAAAGCAGTGCTTTCACTTCCATGTGCCCCCTGCTAATTTCTTCAATTTAGAAGCAAAATATGAAGTGTTGCCCAAAGATAGAAATAAATATTTCACCACGGATTGTCGGGCAGAGTACTGTATGTGAGCAGCGGCATTGACATCTTACCAAAAGTGAAGCCAAAATACTAGTTTATAAAGTGCTTGATCTGGTATGCAGGCTGCAGCTGAGATTTCTATGAGCGGAGCAAGCTTTTTAACTGCAATATCAAAGTTGATGTTCTCCAAATTGCAGGAAGCCATCATTTTTTTAAATATTGGATTCATTTGTAGCATTGACCTGAACCTCCCTTTCCAGGCTCAGCTCGCCTGTTGGATTTAGAAAACAAAAATGTGCTTTCTTTTAACTACCTTTTCTTAACCTTGGAGAAAAAACGTCATGGTGATACGGAAAGATGTGAGAGGAACTCATTAGGACTCGGCTATGTAATTTATGTTGCAACAGCGGATGTTGTTTAAGTGGTCGTGCAGTTGGGAATCTACAATTTTTTTTTTACAAAGATTGACTACATAAAACACATCTTTATACAGGCTCACAAAATTGGACAATGGTGAAAAGATATATCTTCATCTCGAAAGGTTGGAATTAAAATATAAAAGTGAAAGGAAATGGTTGCCAGCACTTACCATTATATCAATTGGATGAGGAAGACCCCTTTCACTACAGGAGGTAATGAAGGATGTTGGACCCCCTTTATTATATTTTACAGAACTCAAACAGCTCTCATTATGGCCACCACTTAAGTCCTTCTGGGTAATTTCACTCAATTAGAAACCTTCCTAAGTGAAAACGTGAATACAACCGCAACAAAATTCCCAACACAGATGTCTTATTATCCGGCATTTTAGGTACAGGTCATGCTGGTTCCATTAGTTGTTAACACAAATTACCGACTGATGGATTTGCTAGAGGAGGGTCCTTACATGTCTACAAAAGACAAAGAAGAATAGTAGATCTGATTGCAGACAGAAGGGTTGTCAGAGCCATTCAAGGGCCTGAAGAAATAAATGCAGTCCTTTTTGATGGCCTCTTGTCTTCTGAATAGTGTCGTATTCTTGCTGATTTGGATTTGTTCAAGCCATGCTCCAGAGATCTTTTGTCTCTGTTATGCACCAACATTTCTGATTTTGGTGTAAATCAGCAGTAAAATATTTTAATATCTGACACTCGTATGTCACTAATACCCCTTCCGTTATCAGTCAGGGTTGTATGGTTAAGAATGTTATTCATACAACAGCACCAAAAATAAAAGTCAGAAGGCTAGTTGTCATTTTAGATCCATCAACGATAAGAAATTGATTCCTAAAAGAGCTATTTATCCAGGGAGAAGGAGGACAGACAAGATGATGGATGACTAGATTGCCTCTGTAACCAATCACACAAAACATTACCTAACAATGTCCCATAAATCACTATAGGCCTTTTTTTCTCAAATTGATTTGAGTCATCATGTTTTTTGTGCAAATAGGTGTTTGGTTTGCTGCAATGTGTTTCTAAATGTATGTTTTTCATGTCTCGCTCTTATTGTAAATACCGGCTCTTTCTTAAAGGCACTGGACGTGTGGGCGATGGGAGTTACACTTTACTGTTTCGTTTTTGGAAAGGTAAGTCTGCACATTTCCCATTTTAATATCTGACTAGTGGCCTATTTTAATAAAGGCTAGCTGATTATTGCTGTGATGTATCTTGGTTGTCTTAAAGGATACAGATTGTGTTTGGTACACACGGTAGTAATTCAATGTACCTTCGTTGTTTTTCTCACTGTCTCTCCTCTGCTCCACCTGCAGTGCCCCTTTATTGATGAGTACATATTGGCTTTGCACAATAAGATAAGGACCAAGCTTGTGGATTTCCAAGAAACGTAAGTCCATCTCCTGCATCCTCACCTCTTCTCCACAAAAGCGACAGCAGCGATGTTCCACCATCTCCATTCCACAGATGTATCCGATACTCATCAGAAATCCTTTCACCTTAATTTTATTTTCAGTAACAAATTGCACATACAAAAATATGAAAAGCTTATACAGCAGCCAGCAACAGCCAAAAATAGAATTCTGCCCGTTTGTCATCAAAACAAGCATTAAAGGGCAAAGAGTGGCATCACTGGCCTGGACACTTACTAGTGGAAGTCTTCTTGAGTGAATAACGCTAAAGAGACAGAACGAGAAAAAAAGAACGATAGGCAGTCAGGAAGAGGCGAGCAGAAGTGAAAGACTTAGGGAACGCACAAATATAGTGACACAAAAGTGAAGTATAAAACAGAACATGTAAAGGGGCTATAAGTAGCAGTTGGATTATTTATGCAATAGAGACTTTGTGACTGTGGAGAAAGCTTGTTCATTAAACATCATCCCCCTCCTCCCAATCGGAGTATTGCATCACTAATGGTATCATCTCCACACTATACCAATCTAATAGAGTTAGCTGCCCCTTGTTGGCAGCACTGATAGGTCATTATACTCAAGGTGTGCATTGTGATCAATGGCTGAGCTCACATAAACTTGTTTTACTGAGACACAAATTACCTCTATAACTGTGATATATTCTAATCGTATTTTATCGGGGTCGGTGAAATGCAACATTGAATAGGCACCTTCATTAATATGGAGCATTGACTTCCCTCACAGTTGCTTTTAAGTCCTAAGCATAAAGGGACATAATTGCGTAAAGTACTGGATAAACAGGTGAAATAGTTAGCTTACAGTTAGGAATAAACAGGTGAAATAGTTAGCTTACAGTTAGGAATAAACAGGTGAAATAGCTTAAAGTAATGGATAAAAAAGTGAAATATTTAGCTAAAACTAATGGATAAACAGTTAAAATACTTAGCTAAAAAGTAAATGATTACCATGTGAAATAGTTAGCTACTTAATAATGGAAATCGTTTTTTATCAACTGTTTATGTATTACTTCAGCAAATTATTTTGACTGTTTATCCACTACTTTTAGCTAAACATTTCACCTGTTTATCTATTACTATAAGCTACATTTTTTAACTGTCTATCCATTACTTTTAGGAAACCATTTCAACTTTTGCTAATTACTTTAGTTTCCACACATAACACATTGTGATTAGAACGACCTGATCAGCTGATTTAATATTAGGGTACTTTTTTTTAATTCAAAGTGTGTTTTAAATTCATCATCTGCACTGTTTGTTTCAATTAAGTCACTGTCTTAATGCTCAGTTAAGCTTACACTTGTCTCTATGCCAAGTAATAGTAAGTGACAAGCATAATCATGCAGGTGTGAAAATGATGAGTATTTTCTATGTAGCAAGGGTGAGGTGGAAATGTGATTTTCCTCACTGCTCGCATAAGTCCGATAAGGAGTTGCAAGTAGATATGTTCTTTGTACGTTGTCACAAATCAACGGTTTCATTACATTTCCAAATCCAACAATGTTTTAAAATAATTATTCTGTGTTTCGTGCAGACCAAATATCAGTGAAGAGCTGCGGACTCTGATCCTGCGGATGCTGGATAAGAACCCGGACACCAGGATTACCATCCCTGAGATCAAGGTAGAGAACAAAGCAGACGTAATTGACACCTCGGGGTTCGTCACTTATTGTTTAGCTTGACATGCATTGTTCGTGTTCAGACACAAAATCACTGGTTTTCTCTCCTCTGATTGGCTCAGAAGACTCTGATCTCACTGCTATACATGTTCATTGGACATGCTGTGTTGTTGCAGGTCGTGATGAAACCTTTTTGTCCCTGTGGAGGATTGCAATAAAACCTAGTCAGTAATACAGAGGGAGGTCCAAGACCTGCCATGGGGAGATTGCATTCCCCACCCCCCTAACCACTGTATTTCCATGACACAATCTAAGCATGTGTCAGGGAGTCATTTTTCTCACCAGAGACTCTGTTTGTGTTGATGGAAAAAGAGATAATTAGGCATGATGCATAAAAACATGCAGACACACACACGCTTACACAAAACATAGCTTTTAGTTGGCAAAAGCTGCAAAAGAACACTGATACAAACCCTAAGGTCACCTATTATGCTAAATCCACTTTTTCATGTTTTTCATAACTAAATATGTGTCCCAGCAGTGTGTTAAGAGATTCTGAAAGTTTAAGGACAAAGGATCCTCTCTCTTCTTCTGCTGATCCACCTGTCTGATTCAGACCTAATCATTATGTTTAAAGTCTCTATGGTTTTTAGTTTCAAGTTGTTTTTAATTAGGTAACCCATTAATAAAAGTATCCTGCGTTTTAAATGACATCTATTGATGCTAACTGATTTGAAATTGTAGAAGTTCCTTGTGCATAGTCTGGATTTTGGAGACGATTGGCTGGGATGTTGAAAAAAAATGAACGTCCTGATATTTAATATGTTCTTTAGTGTCAACCAATCACACCAAAAGAGCAACAACTGATCCTTTGCTGAAAACTAAAATGACTGCCCTTTTTTTAGAAAATAAATGTTGACAAAAAACATTCAATGGTTGGTAGCTGTGATGGATTATGTGACTTAAGCGACTTTTAAGTCTTTGCAATTGGGCAATAACAACATTAATCAAAACAAATGGCTGCCTGGCTGGTAAAAAAATGTCATGAATAAATCTAAACAGCATGCCTTGCTTTAGAAAATTGTCAATAATGATTTATAATATGCATGCCGTGCAGGGTTTACCATGAAATTAAGAAAATGCTGACTTTTTGAGTATTTTAAACATTGAACAATGCCCAGAAAGTAGATAGCCAGACTTCCTATAAGGATGCACATGCTAAACTTTACTAACTGTGGCTCATAGATACAGTGTACAATGACATGTCTTCCTGTGTGTGTTTTAGCTGGACCAGTGGGTGACCCAGGGGGGCACTGATCCCTTGCCACTGGAGGAGGAGCACTGCTCCGTGGTGGAGGTGACGGAGGAGGACATCCAGAACTCAGTCAAGTTTGTTCCCAGCCTCTCTGCTGTGGTAAGTGTCCCCCCTTCAACAAGCTCTTTGTGTCAAATTGATACCTTTTCAAGAAAGTGAAGCTCTAAGAAATACAGCAACGTAGTGACTGAACAAGGATGGATATATATTTTCTTTGCGTTGTTAACCAATTGTCAGAATGGGAGGGTTACAAATATTTAATTTACATAAACCACACTAAATAGAAACAACCTCCCTTAATTTAAATACAAAGTAACAGAAGAAACTGTCATATTTTAAACGGGTGTTTAGTGAGAAACGCTTTACGACCTTAATAAATTACAGCACTTTGACCAGATCGCTATGTTGAAATAGCCAGAAGGTAACCAGGTTTGGTTAAAAACTAAATGTAAAACCGTATTTTCAAACATATCAAATGTAAATCTTGGTCAAATAAGAAATTCCCTCTTGCCAGAGAATGAGAAATGTTTTTTTTAATTCTGTATTTTCTTGGAATTATGTGCGAAAGTGCAATTTAGAAACATATACTGTATGTAATAATGGTCATTTAAAAGAGGATTTATTTGAATTAAAAGGGACTATCACAATAAGGTTGGTCGATTTTGTTTCTGTTGTGTGCTTGATTGTATATTCAATGAGATGAGCCCTTTTGACTGTTTATATAACTCTAGTGTGTATAAGTGCGCTTGACTGTATGAATGGGACCCCAGGAAGAATAGCCTGTGCTCATGCTTGTGCTAATAGGACCCTAATAAACAAAGGAAATGTTAATCTCCTCATAAGAGCTCTGATATTTTTGTTTGCTATCCTCTCTTTGCAATACATCTACTGTGTTCTTTGTGCAGATTGCATTTAAAAAGTAAACTTTTGAACATCTTTGTAAGCGTCCTGTGTTTGTGATTGTTTCAGATTTTGGTGAGAGCCATGCTGAGGAAGCGCTCCTTCAGTAACCCCTTCGAGTGTCCAAGCAGGAGAGAGGAGCGCTCTATGTCTGCACCAGGCAGCCTGCTAATGTAAGACCACACAGTCCATCATGACAGTCAAACGTGTCCTGATCACTTAATGGGACAGTTCACCCTGAAACCTAAAATACATATATTTCCCCTTACTTGTAGAGATATCCATCAATCTAGATTGATTTACTGCAAGTTGCAGTGATGACATAATAGGCTGAATAGATGTCCTCCTTCTCTCCAACAAATGGAATTAAATGGCACTTGTGGTGTTTAAAGTGCATAAAGAAAATACATTTTACAAACTCTTTCCAGAAATAATCACCCGTTTACTCAAGATAATCCACACACCTTGTTGTGATAAGTTTCATTGAGCGACTATTTTCTTTCTATCGCACTACACCCGCCAACTGTATTACAGCAAAGAAGGAAGAGTGCATTTAATACAGCTAGCTAACTTGACAGCTAACTGTAGGACACCATTTATGTTTACACCTTGTTCTTTTGATAAGAATAGATTCATGCTTCCTTATGTGCAGTGATACGGTTGATGGGTGTAGCTTATAAGAAAGAAAATAGTTCCTTCCTTAAAGCCGTCCCTAGGTTTATTTATTTTTAAGACTGTGGTCATTATTTCTGAAAAGTTGGTCATTTGAGCTCGACATGGCAAGTGTCATCTATTATATTCAAGAGAAGCCGAATATCACTAAAGCAGAAATCTCCACATTCTCAACTCACACCAGATCAAGCTAGATTTATAAAAGCACTATAGTTAAGAGACGTACAAGAGGTGTATTTTTGGGGTGAACTCTACCTTTTCATACCTGCATATCTCATCTATGGTGATTAAAAGCAGACTGCAGAGAACACGCAGATCAGACCTGTCTCCTCTGTCCTATGTTTCAGGATAACTCACATTCACTCCTGCAGCAGCGTTGGGTTACCATAGCACCATGATTCATTCTTTTATAAGTGTTATTTGTGTGTTGCTTACAGCTTTAAAGGGTAGAAGGATTCAGAGTGACAGATAATCATACAGATCTGCGAGTGCCTCGGGCTGACCTTACATGTTCTGTTCCACGGATTGAACGCATCACGGGGAGAAAAGCCAATCTTACGACTTTGTCGTGCAATTGCAACATATACAGTACAGCCTAGGGCGATTGGGAGCTTCTATAGCTGTTCCCTGCTGTACTGCGGGTTCCTTTGGCTCAGTGATCTGTGTTTAGTGTCAGGCAGACCTTGCCATCAGGGCCACTTTAGCGCTGAATGTGGAGGAGACTCTAACCGCTCATTGTGAGCGTTTCATTAGATGATTTCTCCTCCCCTAACTAGGCCAAGGTTGCCCCTGTTCCGCTCCAGGCAGTCAGAGAGCTGCCTTCTCAGGTGAAGGTGCTTCCAGAGGACGTGGAGGGAGTTTTGAACAATACTGCCCTCTGCTGGAGAGAAGGAGACGACAAAGCGTTGTACATCTAAAGATCACAGCAGCGTGAACAAAAGATATAGTCTGTAGTACATTAGCTCACAGTTTCTGATCCATACACTTATTGTCACCATGGATTGTTGATGTAAACGACACTACAGTTGAAAATCTTTATCACCATAAACCCTCCCCTGTTGATCAATAACATTAAGGTAATTACTTTTTCAAGCTTTCTGAAATGCTTTCCTTAAATATGCAAATTAGGCAGTATTTCATTTTTATGATTTGCACTCTTTCCACAAGAGTAAACTGAACACTGGATGACGCCAGGTTGAAAATGAATGTTGGTCGATTCTTTTACAAAGGGAATTTAAGATATATATTACCCAGCAAAACAGAAAATAAAATAATACATTTCCCCCTATATATAGATAATATGTGATATAAATCAGGCTTTCCATGAAAGAGCCTTTTTGTTAAAAGCTTCATAATATTCATGGGAATGGAAAACGGGGAAGTTTGGAGAAAATTGCCTATAAATATATATTTGGGAATATGTTAGGTTTATATATGCAAAGAAGGGGATTATCTGATACTAAATTGGGAATTAAGGGGAAATAAAAAATGCAAAAAACTAAATTACTTGGAGAACTATATGTGTATTTTGGATTTCTCAATTTAACTTCATCACCTATTTTACTTTCCTGAGCACTTTCATTTTGAGACATTAACGTGATCATAATGCACCGAAAACAACAACATGGTCAGCCTCTGAGGGACTACAAAGACACTTGACCTTAAAAACTCATCTAATGTTCAGCCCATAAAACTGTAATTGGTTCCAAAATAGAGTGAAAGAGAAAATAATAAAGCAGTTGAGTCCCAATATATTTATTTTAAATTGGTATAAAATGAAAAAGAAGCAACTTAAGGTTGAGGAGTTGATGTTTCTCGGCTGGAGGTCATCTCCACCAGTTACCACGCCTTAGAGCCTCTGAGGTGACCTTTGCCCTCTGAACTGTGACTCTTCCATCTTTTCTCCCACTTTGCTGCAGGGACTCGTGGCCCTTCCGGCCCTCTTTAAAAATGCACCCCTCCCTCAGGTAACACTCTTTGCAGTTTGACACGCTGTCTGTCCCCCATCCACCAGCCTGTACGCCCATCATCATCTTAGACTCCTCCACTCTGGCTTTCCTTCATCATGAGAAGTGATGGAGCTTCCTTCCCCAGCTGTCATCTCAGAGAGTTTCTCATCTCCCTGCTGCTGTCATTTGTTACATTGTGTCTTTACCATTCATCATGTGACAAAAAATGGGACTTCTTCTCAGATTTTTTTGCTGCATTTGGAAAGATAAAGCACAGGGTTAAAGGCATAGCTTGGAATTTATGAAGTGGGGTTGTATGAGGTCCATATTTAGGGTTTTCCTTACAGTGGATGGCGGTTGACTTACTTTGTCAGCTTGGAGAAATGGACAGGAGTATCAGCACTAACATAAAGCTATGTAGTGCTCTGGCTGCAGCAAAATATGTCTTCTACAGCTAATACAATCATAATCAATTTAAGGTGTAAGCTTTGTTTTGGATATTTTCACTGCTCTACCTTCCTTTCAGACAGCCCTTTCCAGCGGGGGACTGTAGCTCTAATCCCTGCTCTCTTCAAAGCCACCAGACTCCATTGACAAAACCAGTCATTTTACCTTACAGGATTGTAAGGTCTATCCATGCCTGGTTCAGAAAAGTTGTTAAGGTGACTGTGGCATTGTTGCTTTCACCGGTTAGATCAGACTCACCTAGTTACACACTAATACTTACAAACTGATTGATGCACCTATTGATCAGCAACCACCATTTTTGTGAGGTAAAATGATTGCTGTTTTCAAAGGAGTCTGGTATCTTTGGAAATAGTATTGCTTAAGTTACCGGTCAAAGGGGCTTTCTGAAGACAAAGGTAAAGTGGTAAAAATGTCCTTGTATAGCTTACACTGATTTTAATTGTTTAAACAGTATTTCTTTAAGTGGCTAGAATATGTTTTGTTGCAACGGTCCATTGCTTAGTTTCAGCTCGGTAACTCCTGTCCTCTTCTCCAAACTGACCATAGGTTAGGCACTAAAAGTGGATATGTACCTCATGAAACCCCGCTTCGGACCAAACTATCCTTTAATAGTCCAATCATTTAGATCTGTAAAGCTCCTCATATTAACTGCTCTTGTTTTTCCTCCTTCAGAAAGGGCAGCACGGGAGATGGACCCAGAGAAGGAGAGCTGGAGGACCTGCATGAAGACGAGCCCTCCTCTTGAGTCTCTCAAAAGTCTTAAACTCCATCCCAACATACATCCCTCTGCTTGTTCACCGGCGTACTCTCCACTTTAATCTGCTGATTGACTCGAGTTCACATTCAGACTTATTTGCTCCAACTTGCTTTTGATTTAGCTTATTCCTTTTTCTTCCTGATCTGCCCTTCTACAATGTGGAGACTTTAGCTTGTTCTTCAATGTCGCTTGTCTTAACTGCTCTCCCACTTCCTGTTGTGACTGGCATCAGTGAACCGATACGGGGAACTCTGCATCATTACCAGCTGATGTGGGGAAAAAAACTGTCAAAACACGTCTGCATGGATGAAGAGTTAAAGAGTCATCATCACACACGCCTGACAAGGAGAATAATCCTCACAGCATGTAAATGGCATTAGATTGTCTCTTCAGTGAACTACAGGTTTGTTTTTTTCTGATATTGTACATAGATGTCTTGAGGTATCATCAATGTATCGTCTCACAGCCCTTTTCTTGTTTTTATGCCATCGGTAGCTTTTATTTTTGAGCTGGGTGATGGAATCCTTCCTGTGCTGCCTTCAAGGGCCCACCTTGTTGGATTCCTCTGACAGGAAGTCAGCTGTCTACGGGTGATCGCACAGAAAGGCCAGTGACTTGGCTATGCTCCAACACATTTAAAAGTTACTTTGGTCGCTGTGTTATTTGAAACCTTTTCTGTTAGAAGTAATTTCACGCTTCCTTTTCAACTCCTTCGTGTCTGATAATTGTTCTCCTGCACCGTCTCTTACCTTCCGTATCCTGTTGTACTGTTTGATCCAATGTGAAGTTATGGCGACAGAGGTCGGAGCACTTGGAAGTGTTGTTTGTTGTTTGATGGTAAGTCAGAACAGACTGTAATTTCCCTTTTTAAAAATCCCATTCTTGGATTCAGAGCTTGTTTGAAGGCATGAATAATCGTATTGTCCAAGTTAAACATCAATGTGCGCTCTTACAGAAGAAATTGTATTATCCAGGCTAAGGGACAGCGCACAAATTATTACTGAAGGAGAGGTCAGAGAAGTGGCGGGGTTGTTATGTTTCCTTTTAGCTGAGGGATGGTTAGTCTGAATGTTTTGGAGAAAAAGAGAAGGGTCTTTTTATTTTTCTAATGTCCCACATTAATAATTCAGTATTCCCTTGCACATGGCTCTCAAAGTCACAGCAGATCATAAAACTGTGCTGAGCTGTGAAAAATGTTATCTCTACAAAAAGTCATAATCTCCTTTACTTTCTTATGCATAGTAACAAAAATGTGTTAAAAAATTGTAGATGTGTCATAAAATGTCAGCCTTTTTGTTGCCACACTTTTTGAAATTATTAATTCCATTTATTGTGGAAAGAATTTTTCCTTAAACACAGAGATATGATTTAAATATATTTTATAACATAATTGATTACATTTAAATTAGGTTACATCAAATAGAATTATTGAGAAGTCAGAGCTAGGGTCCAAATTAAATAGTAATTAATGCTGGAAAGGGTTGTGCGAATAAAAGATCTCAGCGATGTTTGCAAGGTCCCTAACTAGATTTCCTGGCTAACATGTTGAAGGTCAAACTAGCCATACGTGTGTCGAGCTGCGTTGGCTAGTTAGTCAGCATTCTAACCAGATCAAAACAATTGGTGGCATATGAAATATCATTTATTTGTGTGATTGAAGTCCTTTGTTTGCCATTAAGCTTGATTGCCAAACTTCAAAACAAGTCAAATCTGTGGTCTGCAGTGTTTACGCTGTCTCAAATAAACGATAGATCTCTTCCTCCTCCGCAGCTCTCCTTCAGATAATGTTTGTACAACTCCATTCTGCTCTGGCCTGGGTCTGTGAAAGAGAGCGTGCTTGTCTGGCAGAGTGCTTTGAGCACTTGAACCGCAGTGAAAAGAGCATTTCAATGTCACGATTAGACCCAGACTGCCAACAACGACACACTGCATCCACTTCAGTGCCGTCCCCAGTGTGGCTGATTATAAACGGGGGTCGGGGGTGGAGGGGGGAGTGCAGCGTTTTGCATTTCCTTTATTAAACTTGCCCTCAGTATCCGCAGTAAAGGATGCATACTGAAGCACAGAGAGCAGAGAGGGGTTGGTAGAAAGTGTTGCACACATTGAGCCTCTGTGTTTAGAGATGTATGTTCACACTGTCAGGAAAGTAATGCACAAAGACCATGGGTTCTTGGGAATGTAAAGCTTTATATATATTTGTATGTAATTGTTCTGTAAAAAAAGTATACGTGTTGAATGTTGTAAATGCTGATTGACATGAGGGCTTTTTTATTTAATGCAACCTTTTATTTTTTATTTTTCCAGAGGACAAGTTAAGGAAGCCCTGAGATCCTTTTGCAGTTAACCTTCAATGAAGGACTGTTTGAACCAAAAATATTACATTTGTATGTCTTAAGTTGACTGTTTATAACTTACAACATTCTTTTGAGGTTTTCTTTAAGTCTCTGGGTGTCGCCAGCTTTACATTTGTGTGTTTGTACTGACAGACTGTTGTCAGTGCCAGATGTGCAATATTGTTGTCGTCCTTGTCATTGCTACATTGTTGAAAAAACTAAAGTACTGGTTATATTTAAATATTTGCACATTTTCACTTACAGAAAGCATCTTAAAAATACTGGTGCCTGCCAGCTATTCAAAATTTTACAATTTATGATAGAGGGAAAAAACTGTGGTTCACCTGTAAAAGACCATATTAACTGTGTATGTTCTCAAAGTCTCCCGTGCTTTTGATATCAATCTGCATGTCACAGCATTGCTCCTTGTTTTTGGAGATTTATTTTATAAATGAAACTAAATATTATTCAATTTATCTTTTCTGTAATTTATTCTCCTGTCTGTTTCAAAAGAACGCTGTAACAGCTGCAGTGACAACATCTGCATGTCCACATAGAGACAGAAATTGTGAATGTTGTGTAACCGCAGCTAGGGACTTGTGGAGTTTACTGCTGTAATGATGAAGAATACTACACCACTGTCATCCCCATTATATGAGCAGCTGGAGATAGCAGCTTTATGTCCAATATCCCCAGAGACACAGTGAGGGATGATCACTAACTGCCCTTAAAGATTGAACATTAAGCCTCCAGCTATACCAAACTGCTACCCTTATTCAACAGCTAATAGCCTGTTTATATGAATTATGACCTCTGCAAAGGTTATGTTTAAAGGGATAATTAACCCAAAGCTAAAACTCAACAACCTATTTTCCCTCTTACCTGTTGTGCTGTTTATAAATATGACTTTGATTGCAGAGTGTTGGAAAGATGCTGATCTTCTCTCTTCTTCTCAAATGTAGCACAAATGTTTTCTTTTTGATGCAGATACAGGTCCAGATACTTATTAAATACACATTTTTAAATTGTGTTACTGGAGGTTTGTGCACCCTCTTAAGTTCAGTGTTGGTGAAAAAAAATCAATGGGTGCAATTGCAGCACTGAGAGTGAGTCACAGGAATAATTCCTCATGATTTCAGGTCATTGTATCCAAAGGAGGAGTGTGGGAGAGTGTACATAATGTTGAGTTGGGGAGGATTTATACAGCTGCTCTGTATTACATGTGACTGTCCTGATGTTTTTCCTGAAGGTGTCTCTGCGTCTCGTGTTGTCTCGTGCATTTTTTCTGAATGTACTCTGGCTCGTCACAAATTCAAAAACAGAAGCATGGCACATCCCTATGGTCTGCAATGTAAATATGTACCAATATATATGAAGAAGCTATTTTTTGCATGCTTTTTGTAATCCCAGACATAATCAGAGACAATAAAAAATACATTCTGAGTTATTTACACATGTTGCCTGTTTTGCTGTTTGCACTGAGACAGAAAAAAACTCCTGTTCACATTTATTGAAATATCAATCACAAGGTGCACACAGTGATAAATCAGTCCGAAAGTGGCACATCTGCACGTCATGTGTGCATAATTGGCTTTGACACTCATTCGTGGATGAGTTATGGATGATTTGTGTACATACAGAAGCACTAAGGTAGCCAGGAAGTTTTCTTTTACCTGCACGAATATGGAGGACGTGAAGGTTACACCCAGAGTGAAAACAAAAGCAAACCGAGCTACACCCAAAAGAGTACACATCTGAGCTGCACTAAAGCTCTACATACAACAGCGAGAGTCACAGTAATTCAGGGTGGTTGTAAGAGAAGGAAGATATTGTTGGTAGAAGATCCTGCTGAATAAATAGAGTGCACATGGAACAAAGTCTTTGCACTGTGTCCTTTTCTAATCCCAAGTCCATGTTTGTTGTCCCTCAGGGTCCCAGTTCAGTTATCCTTCAAAGTCCCACCATAAAAGTTTGCTCCCAGGTCACTTCTACAGGAATAGCAGAAAATTACAATTTTAGCCATCACAGGAACATTGCATGTATACGGAAGTCCAGAGAGGCAATGTACATTTGTATTGCTTTTGCCTGCAGTGTTGGCCAACACCAACATTGCCCTAATTTGATCTCCTACATACGAGATATCTCCTCCGTATATATGCTTTTTTTAAGCCTGCAAGTCCTCCAATTATTTGTAAAAGGCAAACATTTTCTTTCTTTCCCTTGTAACATATTGGGATAGGCTTTTTCAGGCCGTTTTAATAGTTGTAATGAGACCAACTGCATGATACAAAGGATATTGAAAGTTCAGCCACTTGATTTGAACTGCGGTTTTTTGTGTCACATTAGAGTTATTCTCTTGTAGGACATATATGAAGGTTTTGGACAGCATTGCTCACAAACGATAAAAAAGTCACCTTGCCTCTGTTCTTCCGTACAGATAGATTTTAAGAAATTCTTTAATATCTTACTTTAGATACATCAGTCTCTGTGCTACCTGCCTCTGAGTCAGGGTCCTGTAGATTAAAAGTAAACTCCATTTAGAGATCTCAGAAAAACAATAAATGGATTCCCCTCATCGTCACATGATAGACTACATGAAAAATTATCTAGTTTACTGTCTAAATGTTAACACGCACTCACGTCAGTCTGGCCAGTGCCTTGGCCTTGTCTTGCATTTGCGTCAAAGGGGCAACAGTCACCTGTTTCTAAATCAAGCCACTCGCTGTCCTGCTGTAAATAAGAAATGTTCTGCCTGTTTCAGTTAAAGAGGGAAACTGTCTGGAAAGGGATTGGAGAAAGATTTCATCTTCAATCAGATAAAATGGCTATGCTGTTTCAAGCTTCCCTACTCTGAATGTTATGGGTATAAACCAGAATGTACTGTATAATATAAACACAGTTCTTCACATTTAAAATGATCATTTGTACATCAATAATTTAGCCATGACAATCTCAAAAAAAGGCCTTCAAAGCGAACAGATATTATAGGCTTTAGCCAGTTGTTTGTGGAGTAGTGGGCATTAAACTGGATGAATAAAACTTGGATTAAACTGAAAGAGTTGTGAAAAAGGGTTGTATTGGCTATCCGTGTAAACTTTTATTGATCAAGACTTTTCTCTGTTTCTGGATTTTTTTGTTTACAGTGCATGCATTCAAGATCATCAAAGACTTCTTCAAGACATGGTGAGTAATTGATATACAAATGATAATTTTGTGGGTTAAGTATTCCTCTAGTCTAGACAGAAGGTTTATTCTTCTGCATTGGGTATATAGTTGTGATGTTTAGCATTCCTTCACAATAACTGAACTTCATCCAAAATATATTCAGATAAAGAAAATTGCTGTTCTGTGTCTAACTAGACTGTTAGGATTGTTAAAGGCCTCTCTGCTGCCATCTTGTGTTCAAACTGAGTTCACATCACAACATAATTCACATCACATGATCACTTTGCATGCGTCATGGGGCTTACCTGTGCATGCGTGTCTGTGTATTTGAATTTCATGTTCTTGTAAAATGCTCTTTTTGGTAGCAAATACAGCAGCACCAAGTCACATACTACGGTTGCCTGTAAAATCAGAAATATTATAGTTATTTTGTGAATTATGACAAAGATGATAAATAATGATTGGTTAGTTAGTGTACAACTTACCACTCCAAAGATGCCCACTCCAGAGCCTATAGCTGTTAAGGTTGGGATGATATCAAACTTTCTTGCCTGTGAAGAACAGAGTGCAGGTGATATAATTAAACATTCCCTTTGACTCCCTTTGAAAAAATCTAATTAAAAAGATTCAAATGTATTACTCACCAATGATTGCACAATGATATCGAACCTGATCCCAAACACTTTGAGGAGAGTTCTCTTCGGAATGCTGTCCTCCATATAATGCTTAGCATACCTACACAAATGTAAATATTAAATGAGATCAAAATAGACTTCTGCATTGGCAGTCTTGTTGATTTTTTTTTTCATGCAGTTAATTCGGAGACAGTGACTTCAACACTTCTATATTTTGGGAAATACACATTAACATTCTTGCGGAGAAATAGGGAAAGAGATTAATACCACTCACCACATGTCATGTTTTATACAGGGCTACACTAGTTAGCTTAGCATAAAACAATAAACAAAGGGAAACAGTTAGCCTAGCTCTGTCCAAAGGTAACAGTCCACTTTTGAGCACATCTTCACTCACTAACAACTACTTATGTATACGTGTTTAACTTTCAACCCTTTTTCCAGACTTAATGCTAAGCTAAGCTAACTGGCTGCTGGCGCTAGCTTCACAGCGCACAAACATGAAAGTAGTATCAATCTGTTTAGGAAACTCAGAGCAAGAAAGCAAATATGCATGTTTCCCAAAATGAATCCATCATATCACAAGAAGGGCCTGCTTCCTCAGTGTCAAACAAACACTGAAGTCTGTGTTTATTCAGTGAAGTATATTCACACCTGAAATTGTAGCCCACTGAAGCTCTGGCTTTGTCTGTCTCAGTGGGGTTTCCATACAGACCGTGGAAGGCGTACTTTGGTTTACAGTGTGTTACAGCCACATCGAAGTTGCATGTCCAGTCCACCACAACACCAATAGCCCCTCCCTGGGAGAAGCCAAGAACATAAGTCAAAACACAAGGCTCCATTATAACACCAGAAACTATAGAAACAAAGCACCAAAAGACAATCCATGTGCAGCAGTGACGATGAAGAGAACATCTGCCTCTCTCCACCTGACAAATCATTTATTTCCATTCAGTGTTAAGTAAAGATCAGCTTACTTACCACTGTGGCTATTGTTTCGAAATTGAAACCAGACAGTTTAACTATGTCTCCCAGTCTGAATATGGGACACAGTGGAGCATTTTCAGGATGATAAAGGCATTTGCTGATGTATCCAGCATCAATGCCCTCCACCAGGTTACTCCTGAAAGCACAATTGTTAAGAGACATAGTTATACATAGAGCTATTTGATTGTGCTTTGAAGCATAATAACCTCAAATTTGGTTATCGCATATTATAGATGAAGTCACTCTGAAATTGTCTTGACACAATTAAAAGCACCAAACCATCCCTATCCTTAAATATCATCCAGAGATTAACTGAAGTGGATTTCTTAATATTCATTCTCCTCAAGCATATAGGCCTATAATAGGCAAATAGGGTTATGCATATTGCTTGCATGCTCTTAGAGTTAAAACCCCTGGTAAGGCAAGCTCTCACACTTAAAGGGGTACTCTAGCGATATGTGAGTATTTTGTATAAGTGTAGGGACTTGTGAGGGGGATACTACAAATAGAAAAGTCAAAATTAGTTAAGTAAAAACCAAAAATCATGACTTTTAGCTCCTATTATGAGTAAAAACACAGGATCCTACAATCTTCATAACTCCATGAAGATTGTGAATGCCTTTATTTGAAACAAAAAAATGTTATTACTTGGTTTGCGAAAATAGGTAATGGTCTACATTTGGGAAAAAAACGTAAGCATCTTCAAAACCAAACTTAACAATATATGTATTATGTCCATCACCTTGAGACGCCAAATAAGGGGAAAGTGACTGAATTTTTGATGAACAGCGTGTAGTTCTCAGCAGACATCAGCATAGGAGGACTAGGGGAAAAAGAGAAAATAAAAGAGTAAATTCAGCATGTTGAGGTGCATCCACTTCATTAATTACGTTTCATTATCAGTATGAATTATTGAGTGTTGTCACATACTCAGGTATGACGAGATCATCCTCGACAGGGCACCAGGCCAAAACCTGACAGGTCTTGGTCTCTTTCACACATTCACCAGTCATTTGCCCTTGAAACAAAAACACACTAGAGTTCAGCATTAGACACAAAACTAAAATCTGGAGCAAGTGTTTCAAGCAGCGGTGGAAAAAGAAAAACGTATAGGCTTTAACATAAAAGCAAACTTGCTCTGCTTCCACTTTTATCCTCTTATCTCAAATTAGCATCAACAGCAGCAAGCAAGATATAAAAGAGAAGCAAAGCAAGCGCTGAAGAAGCTGTTTTCTTTATCTCTTCCTGATCCTACCCTCAAATTTCTTTGCGTGTGATTCACTTTGTTGGTATCAGTCTCTCTCATCATGTGCTGGATGAGTTCACCGACAGTTCTCCAGCATGCTTTTTTTCTCAGCTTCACTTCACTGGACTTTTCACTGGAGCGAACCAGTATGTTTAGCTAAAGGCGCGCCCTCGCTGTTTACTTGTCTACAAGCATAGAGACAGTAGGCCACCTCTAAAGAGATACTGGCACCTCGAGGTGAATTTGACCAGTCTGAAAGAGACAGATCTTAAGCCTTGGCTAACAATGGCCTTATTAAAGTTGACGTTGGGCACACAGGCCATGAAAGGCTCAGAGTCTATCCCCAAGGCAGATGGAGGGCAATAAATGTATGTAACTGCTCTTTGAACTTGCCCACAATACTGTGTATGTTGGGACCTATTAAAAAGCTTGTCTGAATGGTTATTTGTTTTCAATGTCTCTGTGTGCCTATGACTGTGTTGGCTCATATGAACAGTAGTTATAGTGGCACCTGTGTGTTTGTATTCAATATATATATATTTATACCGTGTTTCTAATTGCTTAAGGATAGGTTTTTACTTGCACACGCTATTTTTTTAGTTGCTAAGACTGAGGTTGTTGATTCGAAACTGTTATTTTTTCTATTTTCTTGCCAAGGTATTGTTTGGATTACAGCTAAATGTTTATCTAAGCAGTGACACTGAAGTTTGGTGTGTGATCCCATAAATTAGCAGTCCTCAAGAGCCACAACCCATTATGCAAATACACCTCTCCAATAGCCTTACAGGTTTCTCTTACTTCTTCCATGCTTCTGGGTCCTTTCACTTGCTTGATTGAATTGTTTGAATTAGGGATGTTAAAGGTTACTATCACTAGTCAGAGTATCACCTATAGTTTATGGCGTTTTCAAATGTAGCAAATGTAGTTTAGACACCTAAAAAAAAGGCCAACTTTAACTGGAATGAGGAAACTAGGACATACCTCTTAGACCACATACGATGGCAGTCAACCCTTGCCTTGATCACAAAATGTGTTTGTGTTATCGTGTGACTTTGATAAATACGAAACTTACCTTAAAACCCAAAAATTCCCACAATAACACAAACAAACTAACCACTACCTCTGTCTGCTTCTCCAAACTGGGGTTGCCGAATGCCATCTGCTGTAGGTAATAATCTGACACCTCAGACATTTCAAAAACTCCAAACTATACTGTTAAGAAGATTTCGTTTTCTAGAAGGGCTTTCATCCCTAGCAAAAAAGACAAAATAACAGAAAGCCAAGGCTGATCTGAGTTTGCCCTCAGATGGACTGCTGACGCCACACACTGTCAGGCCGTCAGGATTTACCATGTCCCGTACGTTTGAAACTCCCTCCTTCACAGTCAGCGTTCGAGCTGCAGTTGTGCTTTCCGTGGAGCTGTTACAAACAAGAGAGTGGGGTCAGTGTGTGGACACAACTGTGGAATGTGGATGTCAACAACATAAACATCTAAATACAGTTTTGCAGCACACAGAAAACTGCTTTTTATGTCATCTTGAAGGGATTAAGTTAAACAAGGCATTCTGCTACAGCTACACAATTACTACCCACTCGCAGAAACAGTCTTGGAATGATGCAGTTTCTGTTAAGTCTGACTATTTATGGAAATGTTTAAGTCAGAAGGAAAAGAAGGGACGAAGAAGAAAAAAGGGGGAGGGAGTTTTTTTGACGTACCTCTGGACACTTTCCCATCTTCTGACCTTCAGTTATGATGTAGTTTGTCATCACCACAAAAGATGCATCTCCCTGAGGTTAAATAATTGAATTAGTTAATATGTTGCTTTTTAAATCTCATTTATATATACATACCGTTAAATGCCATTATAAAGCATGCAGTAGTTGTTAGGCAACATGTTATTGTAAACAGCCTGTCAAAAATAAATCCCTTGCTGCTGAGATAACAAGTAAAACACCTTGAAACAATCACTTTTACATACCAAATAGTCAGTTCTCTAGACAGGACTGAATGGACATTTAATAAAATACCCTTTTTTGCTTGTTACCACTCTAGATATGAGAGCGGTACCAATCTTCTCAACTAACTAAATTCCGTTATGTAATGTTTAGATTGTTTATTCTGTTCAAAGTTTAGTAAAAATTACATGTTTGTGGTTCACAGGGGGTTCATTTGCTCGAATAGTTGCCCAAGAGTTGCCCAAGAGAATCGCTGGAATCGTAGAGGCCTGACTGTATGAAATAGGAATAACATTAATTTGTGAACTTTAAGATGCTTTTAGAAAAAATTGGAGAAAAACGTTGGCTTACATCATTCATGCACATTTGACAACCTATACCAAAGCAGGAAGTGAGAGCCCTTCTAATTTTCGAGACATTATCCAGAGTTCACGTGTTTACTCTGAGTGAACGTGCTAACCAGCTACTGGCTTTAGCTTCATATCTAGCCAATCGTCTCATCTAACTGTCAGAAAAGTGAATATTTATCTGCATAGATATACAATCTGACCATTATTAAGAACTTTTATTTCCATGGGAATTTTCTTGATGTGAAGTGGAATCATTGATAATGTTTGGCTGGAGACAAGATGTTACATCCTCTCAAAGGTTATGCTACCTTGGTGCCGTTTACCTTTTAAGTTTTTCGTCATAAACAGAACATAAGGTAAGGTCTAAATCATGAAGTTTCTCTCAAACTAAATCACAGGAAAGCATGTAAAGTGATATATGATAGGTATGTAATAATAATAATGCATTTATTTTATATAGGCGCCTTTCAAAGCTCTCAAGGTCGCGGTACAAACACATAAAAAACAAGATACATGATATATGTGAATATTTACTTTTCAGAATAAATAACAAGTAATATTTGCTCTACCTGATCAAAGTGTGAGACTCTCAACCTAAGTGGCCTTTTCATTATATTGGTCGGGTTTATCATACTAAACCGTGTGCTAAAACCACACTGAACTGACAAATGGGCCAACACCCAGACCTCAAAGCAAACATGACGATCTTCACAGTGTCTCTTTATGTATTTCCCACAGATAACAGGACACAGCGCCATTCAAGGTCAACAAATATAGATACAGTATATTTGACTAGAGTCCCTCTTTGTGAAGTTGATGGCTTAGTTTTTTACAGCATGCACTTTGAAAGCACACAGACACCTTAATGTTGACAAAAAAACAGATTAGCATCCAGTTCAAATGTAAAAACCATTAGTAACTTCTGAAAATCTGTTTTCACGTTATCCTATTCGAACGGATCTTGCATCCATTCTAGTCAACCCGGATGTTTTTAAAAGCGGGACTGCTTTTTGACGATCTGACCAGCTTTGCTCAAAGTGTTCTGACTCAGCCTGATGTTTATTCACTTTGACAGTTGTTATGGACTGTACATGTTGACTTTATGACATCTGACTGTACAGATTACCCTATCAATGGCCGGTGACTTGGAAAACGAATTGTGGACCAATTAGGAGTCATGTGATGAGCACACATTTAGATGTTCCTGCATGTGTGAAGGTCTTCAGCCAACCAGTCACCAACCTGAGAGGGAAAGACGTAGTCGGCCACATCCCAGACTCTCTCGGACCCGTTTATGCTGGTGTAGCCCACTCCTTTCATTTTGGTGAATACGGAGCCCACTGCTATGTCTGTGGACTGGTAGCCTTTTTCGTAGATGAACACCCACCTGTACGAGACACAGAAAGCATGATGTCAGTTTCAACAGATTCCCATGTTACACTAGCTAAACATGCATCCCCGCAGGCAAGGGCATGTATAGTGCTGATGTTGACATTCTGCACTGCAATCCCACATGCCAGCAGCATTCCTCACAGGGATAGATGTGCAAGTCACTGTGGTTGTGCTATGTCATGGTGGTCGTTTAAAGGTTGTCAATTTACCACTGCCGACATACTGGATTACAGAGAACACACATTTCAAATAGCAGCCCTTCATGTTTTAAAGTAGGTCAAAAATGCATCATGAAAGGGTTGGAGTCTGTTCAGTGAAAGCAGGTCTAGTAGGTAAATCAGATACGTGGTTTAGTAGACATGCAGACTGTTAATTTGTTATGAAGTATTAAATGTTTCCAGTTAATTGAACGGATCCACAGATTGTATTTATATTAGTAATCCTAGTGTCATATTAAAAGGGAAACTTGCCTGTTTATGAGTGCAAACAGAGGCCAAATATCCACCATATCGCTCCATTTGTCCAACTCGAATGTTTTTTTTTTAGGCTGCTGGCCGTAATTTTTTGATTTGCTAATTATTCCTATACTTCAGCACGCGGTAAACATCACAAAACGTACAGTATATGACCTTAGTTTAGTATGTTACGTGATTATTTAGCGAAAAATTCCTAGTCTGGGTTAAATAAGTATATATTTGTCACTTACAGAGGCCGAAGAACAGTACAGAGGGCACTTTACTTTTTGTGCCGCTACGTTTATTTGGAAGCTATATATGGTATATATGTTAAGATTATGATTTACAATGCATTGCTCAAGAGCTGTTGCTAACATATCTGGCTTGTTGCCAGTTGGGGCCCCTTGTGCTGTTTCAAATTTTAATGGATTGTAAGTAGTTACACCAAAGAGACATTTCCTTCAGAAACTTCTCATATGGTTTCATTTAAATAAATATCTGAGGCCCAAAGTGGATTAATTATTCAACCTTTAATATAATACAAATACAATATCAGTGGCCATTTCTATTTAGAACTATGACCTTTGCTTTAAATACAGACATTTTCTCATACTTAGATTTGGAACTTTAAACTTGCCACATTGTTTTTATTTTTACTTGAGCTAAGGATCTAAGAAAATCCAAAAAAGGATGTGGGATCCACTGTAGATCCTGGTTTAAAGCCAGATGCTAAATATCCCAGATTTGATTGGTCCCACTTGGACGCAGTACTTATGCATTACTTTTTGATCTTCCCATAGCAAAGCTTCTCCTTGTGTTACTCTAGTTTGGCCAGGAGATATGGGCAACAGCTGGTGTGCACTGGGAAGATACTGTATGTACACACACACACACACACAAACACACACACACACACACACACACACACACACATACACTTGCAGAGCTATTTTATGTTGGGTGTGAAAAGCAATCACCCCCCAGCAGAAAGCCTACAAGACATCATGCATTGCAGCACAAGTTAATTTTTTCTTGGACGATGAAAGCACCTTACAGCTAGAGACGAACAGAAACATCCTTCATCTGCAGACAGAAATAGGGTGCCGTCAGCTCAATGAGCTTTAAGCCACATCTTCTATCAGTTAGGCAAATCAAATTATGTAAGTCGGAGTTTACATTAAAAAACAAGGGGAAAGGAAATAGAGCACATTAATGAAATAAAGGAAACCATGAGCGTGAAAAAAGTGGAATGGCCCTCCAAAACAGCCGTCTCAGTGAGATCTGTATCTGTTCCGACAGAGAGGCGAGGAGAAGCTCCTTTATGTGCGGAGAGCTTCTCTTCCCAACCCACTGGGGCTCAGAGATTACTGCTCATTTGGTGAGACACAAATGAGAAAGAAAAAAAGGCAAGCTAAATCATCACAATGAAATGCAAACAGAAAGATTGACATTTTTGTCAACTTAAAAGTGACAAGACAAGAATTAATTATGGTTTTCTAAGGCTGCCGTTGAATAAGTCTTTAGTTTCTGCTTTAAGAGGTTTATATTTAATTGGTTTATTAAAAAGAATATATGTGGGAGAGATGTATGCAGAGCACCGTCTAATGAGTGCTCCCAACTGGAGAAAGATGCATACATTTTATATGAGAATGAAGCAGATAATAAAGTGCTAAAATATATACATAAAATAAGTGTATCAACAAGTAAATACTTATTTAATTAAAATAATAAAAAGTACAATAAGAGATGTATTTGAGGCAAGTCTAAGGTTAAATCCGAAAGAGACATGATGGCTTCTGCTCTGACCTGTCAGCCTGCTGCCTAAATCCTGAAGAGAAAAATCTGAACAGCTTTATTATTGCATCAAATTGCATGCCCATCACCAAAAGGTGGATGACAGGTGGGAAGACAGCAGAAAAAGGAAGCTCTGTCATGCACCGAGAACCTTCATACTAAAAGGGACACAAGACCTTTTGAATGTCACTGTGGATATTCCTTTTACTATCCTTTATCTCAGAGTATAGCAGAAACTAAAATCCCATTTCACAGTTAACCCCTATTTTTCATGGTTTGAAATGAACAAAAATTATCATTCAGATGTCTTGTAATGGCTTGACTCTAAAGAATATCAAGATTAAACCACCATGACAAAATAAATTACCACAAAGAATAATAGTTGGCCAAAGCAACCAGTTTATCATAGCCTTAAAAAATCCTTCCCCTGAGCAAGAGAAGACATTCTCGGATATGTCTGTCTCTATCACATTTTTGCTCATTTTTAATGTCATCAGCCGTTTGGCAGTGATTTGGGCAGCAATTGATTGTGATGCTTGTTAGCATATGCCTCAGCATGTTCATCACCCACACAGCTCCTCAGGTTCTGCTGCTCAGAGGTGATGAGACACACACACTCGTACACAGGCGCTAACATGCACGAACGGACATCAAGGAATTTCTAACAGACTATCCCTTCTGAAGAATTGTTCCCAGGACATGTCTAAGCAAGTGTGTGGAGATAGTGTTTGTAAAATAACAAGCATACATGCCTTATATTTTAAGTTTCAACTTGAGCAGTGTAGATGATAAGATCACATGTGTTTGCTCCTTTTGTCATCAAGCCATCCTGCTTTACTCACAGTTTGTTTGAAGGCCATATTTGCTGCGTCAATAACACCTGCAGGTAAACATCTAGGACCATTGGTCGCACCCTCTGAGAAGTCTTCCTTTTAAACAATCATGTCTTTCTAACAGTTCCAACAGTCAGTTGTGCTTTCTTTTTGATCACCTTAGCAAAAATAAAGACATCAAGGTTATGTCAATCTAGACCAGGTTCCCAGGAAAAATGGGGAATAGTTCCTTTTCAGTTCTTATATCACTATACATGTAGAAGTGATCCCAATGTGGGTGAGAGTCATAAGAATGACTATTGTTATGGTCACAGGTCTTACTTCCACGGTTATTTCCATAACTGACAGTTATAGAAATCCAGTTATTTTTATATCTAACAATATATTCAGATGGAGGCCCCTGAAGCAAAATATGATCAAATAGTCTTAATGTGTAGCAAATTAGAAGTCCTTCACAAGTAGAAAAATGTAACCGTGTCAATCTGTCATTTTGTATTCTTCCAAACGTTCTCTGTGCCCCTCTGAACATTACAGTAACAAGGATAGACGTGTTGCTCTTACCCAATGATGTAAGCCAGGACCCCCAGCTGGATGATACGGCACACCACTCCCACCCTCCTGTTCCTCACCAACACCTGGCGCGGGGTCTCGTACTCAAAGAAGAAGTCAGAGATGGCGTTGGTAATTTGGTTCTTCATCTTCTCTCATCGGCTGACCCCACAGAGTGGAGGGTCTCTCTCTCTTCACCCCACTTGCATATATCAAACACTCCACTCTCCACTTCCACTCCTGGTTACCCCTGCTTCACTGGTGGCGAAGGTCCTCTGCCTCTTCTCATAAGTAACGTCTGACGTGCTTCATGAGAAGTCCTGGAGCGGTAGGACGTCCTCCCTCCCTCCCACGCTGATCTTCCTCCCTCCCTCTTTCTCTCTTTCCCTCTCTCCGCACAGGGTCACTCTGTTTACAGTAACATTTGTACATCAACCCATTAACATTCTGCATTTCCTGGTTTTTTTATTGCCTTTTGTTATGTTTGTACAAGCAGCACACAAAGTGAATGAAAAGACATGAATGGAATCCACTTCTTGACAAATAGCTCAACAGCTGCCACTCACACACCGGACCTCCTCCTCTCTCTCTCTCTCTCTCTCTCTCTCTCTCTCTCTCTCTCTCTCTCTCTCTCTCTCTCTCTCTCTCTCCCTCTCTCTCTCTCTCTCCCTCTCTCTGTGCAATCAAACCTTATCGTTTACACTGACACAATCTTCCTGCATGATAATAATAATAATCTCAACACAAACACACACAGTTCAGCTTATTTGCCTTCTCTAATGCCACCATTTCCAGACAGTAAGCCCTCTTATGTTTTATCATCATTTTGTGAGGGGAACACTTTGGGTTTCTCACCCCTCTCAGAAATGTCTCTCCTTTCATTTACCGCGAGTGGGTGCTTTGCATTCCTTATCTTTGTTCTCAGAGGGAAAGAAGTCACAAATGCATTTAAATAAAATGTCATGTCAGTATGCACAACTTGAAATATTACAGAAAAGGTTTCCTATCTGTAAAATGTTTTTCTTCCTCAGTTCTCTTCAGTGTGTAATCCCCAGAGATTTGCAAATGGAAGATCTTATTTTAGAAACATGTCTCAAAGCCACATCTCAATCTGGTGAAATCCTATTCTAAATACAATATTTACTGGGAATTGCCACAAAATGGTTATTGCTTAGAATTTTGTAGGATTGCAAGGATTTGGCAGGATTGTAAGGATTTTGTAAGGATTGCAAAAAATAGGGGGGGGGGGGCTGTATGACAAACTAAATAATATCCAGAGGAGGGAGAAGTACTCAGAACTTTTATCTTAAGTAAAGTAGAAGTACCAGAGTGTAGGATTACTTATGTGACAAGTAGAAGTGCAAATATTAGCATCAAAATATACTTAGAGTACCAAAAGTAAAACTATACTCATTATGCAAATGGCCCGATTTCAGAACAATATATATATTATATGTTTTGATTATAATTATTGATGCATTAAAGTGTTGCATCAAAGCTGGTAAAGGTGCAGCTCATTTGAATGACTTTGTATGCTGCAGCTTTGTTTAGGTTTTGACACCTTGACTATAAAATGTATGCCTCCATACACCTACAATGGAGGTGAATGTCGGAATCGGAATCTTTTATTGAAATTGTATATACCGTCAGGTGAATATTCTCCTCAGAGTTGGACTATGATTCTCAATTGAAATGTGTCTCTGAGCACCACAAATCAAAGTATTCACATTGCTGATAAATCTCAGAGGCATTATCTCAAAAACCTCAAAAGTATTTAAAGCTCTGCTTGGATCTTTGAGTATTTACCCTTTAAATAAACAAGATGCTTGAGACAGAACCAGAAAATCCCCATTGGTTAATCAGCACTTTACACACAATTCAGCTGAGGCTGATGGGAGTGCATCACCAAAGTTACATCTGTTCACATGTATGTTGCTTCCTTAGAACCATACAGATAACACAATTCCAGTTATATAAGAGAACACTGTCTCCAAACACATTAATATACTGGAATCACAATTCCGATGGAATTCCAAATAATTCCTGCTGCATGTGTGTACTAAGTTACAAAGCATTAGTTACGTAATTTTCTGTGTGGCTTAATCAACTGTCTTTTTGCCAAGAACAAGTTGGTAGTTTAAATGTTTCCTTTAACTATTGCAATACAGAAAGCCTTTCCACACACGTGGGAGAAGAACTCAGATCTTGTACTTAAGTAAAAGTAGAAATACTAAAGTGTAGGAATACTCTGTTACAAGTATAATACAACATTGGCAACAAAATATGCTTAAAGTACCAAAAGTAAAAGTACTCATTATGCAGATTGACCCATTTCAGAATAATATATGTTTTGATTATAAGTTTTATCAAAGCTGGTAAAGGTTCAGTTTTAGTATTTTACTGTTGATCATATTTCACATTATTAATTCAAATCTGCAAAGTAACTAAAGATATTAAATAAATGTAGTGGAGTAAAAGTACACGATTTTTCTCTAAATTGTACTTGGGGTATAAGTACAAAATAGCAACAAAAAGTATCTCAGAATTCTACTTAAGTATAGTGCGTGAGTAAATCTACTTAGTTACTTTACACCTCTGATTTTTTGCCTTTTTCGTTTGTCTTTGTGGTCGTTTTGCATCTAGTTCTGCTTCTCTGTGTTTACAGTACCTTTGGGTCAGTTTACGGTCTCTTTAGATGTTTTTGCGGTCGTTTGTAATGAAGTGTATGTTTAAGGTTTGTTCTACATCACTTTGTGATTAGTAATTCCTGAAGACTTTCAGGGAATTAATTAATAATTAATAATACAATGGTGTGGTGGCAGTGAAAATATGTTTGTGTTGTTGAATCACACCAAAACTACAATACAATTTCATCAAGTGCACTCAAGGGAATCAAATACATCTAGTTTTGTTTCATGTGTATGTTGCAAATAAATATTTAATTTACATATATTGTACATTTATACAGGTATTTATGTATATACAAATAATAAAATATATACATCTATTTACAAAAATGAAATGAATGGAGGCTGAGGGGGGGCTCTCCTTCTCGTTCAGGTTTCAGCGGGCCTCAGCAGATCAGTTCGGACCCTCTTGCTCGGTGACTCTGACTCAGGAGTGCGGGCTCTCTTGAGGCCTCCACTCTTTGATTGGCTGAGGGACACTTCCACGCTCGTCCCCTCATCAGATTTAAAACTTCTTGCTGGCAGTTTCTGAGTGAGGCGAACNTATTTAGTCTCCCCCGGATGATGTGTAAGCTTTCTGCTGTCCTGATGTCAATGGGGAGCTCATTCCACCATGTTGGAGCCAGGATAGCAAACCCACGTGACACGTGGGTTTGCTATCCTGGCTCCAACATGGTGGAATGAGCTCCCCATTGACATCAGGACAGCAGAAAGCTTACACATCATCCGGGGGAGACTAAATACTCATCTCTTTCGACTCCACTTCGAGCAATAAAATGACTAACAAAGCACTTATATACTAATAAAGAACTGGCTTATCTAAACCTAGTTGAGTAGCACTTGATATGTTTTGGCTCTATGAAACCTGATTTACTTATATGATTCTGTTTTCTTCAAGTTGGTATCTTCTTGGTCGAATGCACTTATTGTAAGTCGCTTTGGATAAAAGCATCAGCTAAATGCAATGTAATGTAATCAAAGGTTACCATGGTGACGACGTTATCAAACACCTGTGGGCAGAGATCAAAGGTTACCATTCAGATGTGCAGTGAAAGAGATAAACCTCTTACATTTCTAACTATAGTTTAAAAATGGTAGCTGATGTCGGTAAAATGTCAACGCGTGCAGCATGTCAGGACCCTGACGAGCGTATGAGTCTGCTGTGTGTGTACTTTTGGGTCAATAATGTGGCATTTTTGGCAGATTTACTAAAGGTTTGCAGCTGCTGCTCAGACGAAAGATCAGGCTGAATTTACAATGGGCCTTAATAGAAACATGTTGAACGTTTTTGTCACTTCATGCCCTCAAGAGGCATATTGTTACATTTAGCTTTTTCACTTATTTTAGAGGTTTTCCTACAATTCAAGCATACAATTATGTCCAAGGAGTGTAGGGTTTGGGAATTATGGCAGTTTAAAAAGAAAAATGTAAAAGCGAATTTCAAGCTCTCCTCCACTCTAGGGCCCAATCCCAAACCACGCCCTACACACTACCCCTAAACATTACCCCTACACACACTATCCCTACGTCCGCGCGGAGGGTCGGCCACATTAAATGCTGTTCCAAACCAACGAGTGTGGAGCGGTGTGGAGGGGGAGTGGGCTATCAAGCCCTCAAACAGCGAGTCTGCAGCGGTGCTGACTTGAGACCGGTCTCTACCTGACCGGAGTCAACGCTGTGTGTGTCCGTCAGGAATCAAGCTGTTAACAAGTAGTTCCAGCAAACATCCACTGATAAATTGTGATGTTAACAACCTCATGATAGCCACATATGTTTTAACTTAGTCTTGTTTAGTCTAGAAAAAGGTAAATGTGTGCATTTTATTATAAAGTTGTGCATATTTACAAATTGTTTCAAAAACTAAGAAGCTTATAAAAATCAGGTTTAAAACTAAAATACCTTTACAAAAAAGTAACACAATTAAAGATGTTTGGACTTTTATTTTAGTTATTAAATTTAAATGTTTGGTGTGTACATACTAGGCTTACGGCATTTCCTGTTTCTGCCGTAGAGAGGGGAGTTTGTCCCAAAGCTTGTCGCTGTATTTACTTCCTCCATCTGACAGGAGGGAGCCTCGTTGAGCTGTGAGTGGCACTCCACGGAGTTCACTACGTCACGGAGGGGGAGTGTGTAGGGGTAGCGTGTAGGGCGTGGTTTGGGATTGGGCCATAGTGTGACATCACGCACTCTGAGCCTTAACAAGCTGCGCAATACACACTAATGTTAACATCTGAAGAAGGCCTCTTTACCAAGCTCCAAATGAAGTTAAATATCTCAAAAAGTGTAAAAGATATCAAAAGTCTGAAGAATAAGTTTTATAGCTGAAGCTCTTGTGACAGCATTCGCACTAATTACAGCAGATAATAAATCGTCACTTTGACCATTAAAATGACATAAATCATAATTTCAGGAGATAATAAATCATCACTTTGACCATAAAAATGATATGAATACGTCTCTAAGCGCTAACACGTAGCAGCCGTCTGCAGCTAAGCCCTCAGACACTTCACTGGTTGGATGGGTGGGGCCCTTCTCGTCTAAGGATGTTTTTTTTTTAAATATGAGGCACTTGACTCATTAGAAGCCTATGCAATTAAGCCTAAAATA